GTTGAAGCCTTAGCCCTTGTAAACGCCCTCTAGTTGCAAGTGCTATTGATGGTGGCATATGCAACCTCAATTCAGTGTGACCCAGAAGACCACTAGCTGCCATAGCTCTAGCTTGGGCTTGAGCCTGAAGTTGTTGACAAGTCGCGTACATCCTTAATGTTGTAGCCATTAAAAAGACACCAAGCACAAGCCAGAGCTAAATATGCATTTTCAGAAGAAGAAAATGTAAATATTTGCATCAAGGGTTAAAAAGTAAAACCAGTCTACAAGACAATCACAGTGTGGGAAGCGAAATTTACCAGAAAGTTTGGTGACATCTGGTGAGAGTTCAATATCATGAATAACAGAAGAACTGAAACAAAATAAAGGAGTAAAACCAATGCAATAGATCAAAATTATCACATGAAACAGAAATCAGTCATGAATATAGGTGAAATGGTACCTGTGACAAGAAAGGCAAGTGAGTTTGAGTTAACAGGACGTGCTGCATGAACACGCTGATCGGGAGCAGAAAGAAAATATATTTTAAACAAAAATTTCTGAGCATTGGTATTGAAAACGTAAAGTCGTTCAAATATCGAGCATACCATTGCACGCCGCTCAGGTATAAATCCAGGGAGACCATTTTCTATGTCTGGAACTCGTGTTCCACGGAAAACAAAACTCATGTCCGATGTAGATGTGACAGCTAGTTCAAGTCAGAGAAATGTGAATCTACATAATGAAAAATCTAATGAACTCCTGACAATAATCTGCAGAACACATCAAGAAAAATGCTCCAGTATCTTAATAGAAAGAAACCTAATGATTCCCCGCAACTCCTTGAACAAATGACATAAGAACTGAAGCTTGAAGAATCAAAGAGTCATAATAGCCTAAGATTTGTCAAGATGTAATGACAATGGCTAACCAATAAACCACTCATATGACAAACAAAATCATGAGTAATTTAAAAGAGTTCGAGGTTCTTCCAATACATATACATATGCAGTTCAACAGGAAGAGCATAGCAATCCCAATTAATTGTTATCTTAGTTATCAAATTCAATCCATCAGCCACAATCATTCATCAGCTGATCACCTGGGCATCCCATTAACACCAAAAAGACTGTAAGATCACTGCATTCAAACTCAAGTACATACATTCATCCATCCATCTTATATCAAAAGATTGAGGTCTCTACTCAAATGCTAACGCTCGAGTAAGAAATCAGAACTACCGGTCGATCGAACCAGATCAGTTTTGAACATTTTTAATCCAAATTCTCAATTCTCCACATTTCCATTAAACTCCCAGAGATAATTAAATGAGGCGAGAACATGAATCTATAAACAGAATCAGACAGACACGACAATTCTACAGCCCCATAAGCTTCGATGGCAGTTAAACAAGTGAAATTCAAACAATAAAAAAAGAAAAAACGCTTAATTAAAGAATCCCGAGTAACAAAACAGGCATAAGAAACGAGCGATCATCAAATAATCGAACCAGATTAATCCTTGATCAGAGAAATCCGAGACCTACAGAACAGAATCGAGTAAATGGGGTTGATTTTGTTGGTCCAATAACAACAAGGATGGCTTGGAATCGAAAAGTTACGATGATGGGGCATGCTAAAATTACGTGAAAAATGATAACCCGGCGGTAGCGACGGAGGAGATGGGGGAGCGAGTCGATGGCGGGAGGTGACTCGGACGTGTTGAGTTGCTTGTTGTGACCCGTCTCTTCTAAGGAAGGCTTTGGATAAAAGGAGTTCAGTTGAATGCATTAAACGACGTCGTATTAGATTTGCTCAAACCGAAATGACCACTCCATTCTGTGGGACCCTGTCTGTCCCCAACATAACAATTTTACGATTTTATTTTCCCACTAATAATTTAATATATAACAATTTAATTATTTTTTTAATCTCCAATTAAATTAAATTAAATTATATTAAAGAGTTAAGCCAGTTTTTCTCTGGGCATGGTTGAATTATTGTAAAATGTATTAAAATGTAGAACCAAAAATTAATTTTTATAATGTTATGTTTAAAACATAATTTAGACAAAGTCATAGGTTATTGTGGCTTTAATGTCTTTCTAGTTTAATGTAGTTTAAAATTTTTGGAGCCGTTGACCAAAATTGAATTGAAAATTTTAAAGGTCCAATCCGAGGCGTTGACCCGCTGAATCACACCTGGTCTCGACGAATCCCAGCCTTGATTTTGCCAGATCATATTCCATCCACAGGTTCTGTTGATGATGATTCCCTATCACAAACGCTGCTGTTCCTAACAAATCCGAGTTCCCAAACGTCATGCAATACACCCAATCACCACCCTTCACCATTCCCGGCACTCGGTACAGCAGCAACTCCCCGCCGACAACCATCTCCGCCCCATTCAACATTAGACTTACCGCCGGCAGCGGCGGAAGCTTCCCCTGATTCGCCGGTACTCGGAAGCACGAGTCCATTGCTCCTTGGAACACGAAATTCGGATCATCCAATGGAACCAAAACGCCCTTCGTTTGTACCAGAAATTCGTTCTTTAAAGCCGTGTACACTGGCCCCAGAAGAAACGTGAACTGGGTCCCGGAATCCACCATGGTCTGCCCGGCGCCGGTGTGGTCCGGAACCAGAATTGATTTCTCCAACGCCAGGATTTTGTTCCCCACTTTAATTCCCTCCAGTTTGACTGTGTACGCGAACCGATCGTACGACGGCAATGGCGTCGACATTTGAACCAACGGCGTGTAGGCCATATTCCCAACCCACGAATGATTACCTTCGCCTAAAATCAGAACGCCGGAGGAATCACGACCCGATATGCAGTAAGAGAATTTCGACAGACCCAATTGAGTCACAAACGAAAGCGACCCCCGGTTCATCCCCATTAGCCCAGTGGTCTTCGCATCCTCCTGCGGATTCGAACTCGAATCCGAACCCATACACCCGAATAAAGTTCCGGGTTTATTAAACGACCCGATTCGAAACGTGTCGGATGCAAGATTGCCCTCGAGAGACGAGCCGTCAGCGTATGAGACAAAGACATTGCATAGTTTTTCTGAGTCGCATACAACCGGGTTGGGTAAGTCTCGGGTTTGCTTCTGGCAAATGGGGGAACTGCAGGGGATTCGCGAGTAAGAAGAGGAAGAAAGTGGGTTAAAAACAGAGGTCAAAGTTTGGGTTTTTTTGCAGTTAAGCCATGGGAGTTCACTCCCTGTATCCAGCACCATCGTGACAGCTTGAGGCGGCGATCCGACAGTCAACTCAACGGTCAACGTGACATTATGGTGGAAACTGAGTTTGTTCGACGGCTGTGAATTCAATCCTGTCTCTGTTTTGAGAGGCAAAACCATCGCCTGAGTTGCAGAAAAACAGAGGCTCTGCTTGAAACAGAGGAGGAAGACGAGGAGTTGCAGAAGGTGGAGGAAGAAGTCCATGATTTCGCAATGGAATCGAATCTAATCCACGAGAAAGAATATGGGTTGATCGTGTTTTTGAATGGAATGGGATGGATTTGTTGGTTCGGATTGAAATATCCCAAGGAAATAGAGCGTTTCTTGAGAGAAAAAGGGACTGTTTCATAGTTTCATAAATAGTGCGTTTTGTGTACAAAAACGTGCGTTACGGGGTAGGCTGTAGGCAAAAATATTGTCCATTAATTTACATTATTATAATTTTTGTATTTAAGGAATGTTTTCCTATACACACATTTAATTCAAAATAAAATTAATTAAAATGCTTTGATAGTTGTGAATATATATGTGAACTAATTAAGATATATCTCGTGCATATGCAATTAAATAAATTAAATATGATTTTATCTCGTTATTTATAACCATTAATATATTGCCTTTTCTATTATTTATTTTGTTTCAATATTTTATCTTTTCTCTCATTTTTGCGTAAACAATTACTTTAGTGGTTGCCATTCAATTTCTTCTTCACAAATATATTCTAAATTTAATGTTTATGCAATTTTCTAAAATTTTGATAAGACTTGATATTCCAATTATACTAAAGTTTGTGAATTATAATATAACCTTTTTTTTCTTCCTATTATATTAGTTTTAAATATTTGTATAGCTTGTATCCTTTTTTGTAAAAATTGAAACAATTATCAAACACGATCTTAATCTTTTGAACTGAGAGCGGAATTGGAATATACATACATTAGCGATAGCTGAAAAATTTGTTTCGGGTCGAAAGAGAGAAAGAATTGTTGGTCATAGCTTTCGTAGACATGGAATTAAAAACAAGATTGTGACACCTAAATTTGAAATGATGTCTTCTACGAGCTAGAATATAATAGAAGCAATAGAGAAAAGACGAGTCCTAAAGTTATAAGAGAAAGTAGAGGTGAAAATTAACCGAAGAAGCCCAATGCAAGACAAAATTTGAACCAACACAAAAGGATTAGGCCATCAGGTATGAAGAGAAGAATTTGGGATAGAGCCTAAATGAAACTCCTCGACCTCGACCTCTCGAGGAGACACATGTATTGTATGTCCTCGACTCATGGCTTGATTCATCTTCAACCTTATTCGTATCAAAACATAAGAAACCCTAAAGAGTTATCATTCATGTAAAGATCAGACTTATTCTATCAAAATTTTACTATCAACTACTCTATAATACAATCAATCTGGTTGACTTTAGATTAGTTATTTACCTTGTTTGGTTGAAAAACAACAAATCACCCACTATTATTAATCAATAACTTGTCACATTCCATGACCTAAACACGATGATTCAAGGGTCAATATTACGTGAAATTTTAATACATTTACTACTTTTCATAACTCGAGTTTCACGAGACCCTTAGAATAATGAAGAATTGGCTCCAAAGTTAATTCTCGGCCTTTTCTCTCTTAAGGACGGTGAGACTCATAAAAACCCATTTGGTTGTTTTTTCGAGGGATTAGTTAAAATTCCAACAAACCCATCAACTTTGACCTTTTTCTTGAGGGGTCGGCCTTTCTCGAGTTGTGTAGAACCTTTAAGTCGACCCTAATGTCATACGAACAAATTCAAATTGGTTCTAAAACAGCAATTAAAGAGTGGAGGTTTGACAGCTCAAATCAAAGGGTATTTCATATAGGACTCGGAGGGCAAAATGTGATGACATATCGAGGAGCCCTACACATTTTAAGCCCGGTAGATTCATCAAAAGCATAGCTATAAGCCATGGGGCATATGGCCTTAAACAAATGCCCAAAAATCGATGGCTTACAAATTTTGGGATCTGCATATTCCCCTCTGCAGCAATACTTATCCGATTTCGCAGCCAAACAAGCGCTTTTACACCCCACCACTTTCCCCCCTCTCTTCACCTCCAGCACCGATGGGCAGCACCGGTTCAGATCCGCCGCACACGCCGCAACCCCACACCCAACGTTCCCGCCGATCGGAGCCATCGCCACCGGAACATTGAATCCATCCACCAGACTCACATCGTAGTAATGCATCGACGACTTCGAAGTCCCCAACGTCATCTCCACCACCGTCGCCGGCGGTACGCCGCCGATTCCGCTACAATTGAGGAGTCCAGCACAGTCGCCGGTCTGGCAGGAACCTTGGGCGGTTTTTGGGTCGAAACAACAGCCCTGTCTTGGCCAGACTCTGCCGGACCATCTCTCCGGCAGTTCAACCACCGTCTGTTCTCCAGTTGAGAGATGAAATCCACCGTCTCTGGGAAGTGGGTTGCCGGCGTTTCCTAAAATACCCGGCCATATGCTCTCCTTACAGTTGTTCACTATGATCAACTGAACCCCATCTGTAAAACAGAACACCACATTCATAAGTAAAAGAAAGAACATTCCTTCGACTAAAAATCCAACGAAGAGCACAAAATATGAACCTGCAAAAGAGAAGAACAAGAAGAACAAGAAGAAGGAGTGATTAGACATTTGATTTAGATTAATTTTGAGAAGGAAACTGGAAGTGTGCTCTGTAATTGAATAAGGAGAAACTTGAAAACAGGTTCCTAATTTACAGGCACCATGATTTTGAGCTTCAGAAACTGTAATTTCTGAAACGGTTTTTGATCAACTGGAGGCTTCGTTTGATCGTTGGAAGTAAGTTATTTGCGGGACAATTATGAAATAAATCAATTTCAATAGGATAAATTAGAAAAAAAATTAACTTAAAATTATATAAATAAAATTATGACGTAATTATTTATAATTTTAATTTTTTTTATAAAAAATTTACGTTAATTTATGTTTAAGAAAGTTTTATATTAAAATGAAATTGTAATAGAAAAAAACGAGAATTTATATAGCCCGGTCTAGTTTTCCAGAAGCCCATTTTGAACAAATCCGGTTCGAGGAAAAGAAACAGACAGCTAATAACCGGATCATTCGGTTGGCCAACCCTAAAACGAGTAAACTTAACCGGCTGTAGTTGCCCTAACCGGCCCATCCGGTACTGAAAACCAGCGCTTTTCTGCTCACGAAACTCAAAACTCAAACCCTAAACCCAACTCGGTTTCTTTTGTTTTCATCAAGCCGAACCCTTCTTTGTCCTGCAGAGTATTCAACTTCGAGTAAGGTTCTATCTCATCTGTATCTTTATACTTTTTCAATTTCGTAGATTTTTTGGCTTTCGATTATAACATTCATGCTTCTAATAATCGATGAGCCACCCTGAGATTGAAGGTCTTCATTTTGGAAATAATTCCGTTTTTTTCTCCATATTTTCTTGTTACGTAAATTTAATCAATCTGTGTGTGGGTGTTTTTTTCCTTTTTTCTGGGAAGGCATCTGTTGAGATTGCGGAAATGAGTTCCGGTTTGCAGCTAGTTCCTATCACGCCGCAAAAACATGACCCAGCATGGAAGCACTGTCAAATGTTTAAGAATGGGGATAGAGTGCAGCTCAAATGTTTGTACTGTCACAAACTGTTTAAAGGTGGAGGGATTCATAGAATAAAAGAACATCTTGCTGGTCACAAGGGTAATGCTTCTACTTGCCACAGTGTTCCTCCTGAGGTCCAGATTATAATGCAAGAGAGTTTAGATGGGGTGACGATGAAGAAGAAGAAGAGACAGAAGCTTGATGAAGAAATGACTAATGTGAATGCCATGACTGGTGAGGTAGATGCAATTTCAAATCATATGGATATGGATTCTAGTCTTCAATTGATTGAAGTTGCTGAGCCACTTGAAACCAGTTCAGCTTTGCTAATGAATCATGAGGAAGGAACAAGTAATAAACTGGGAAGGAAAAGGGGTAGTAAAGGGAAGAGTTCTTGCGTGGAAAGAGGTATGATTGTCATTCCGAATGGTGGTGGTATACTAGATTCTAATAAGGTCAATAATCAAGTGCATATGGCTGTTGGCCGATTTTTGTATGACATTGGGGCATCTCTAGAAGCAGTAAACTCTGCCTATTTCCAGCCAATGATAGAGTCAATTGTTTCAGCCAGTACTGGGATCATACCGCCCTCGTACCATGATATTCGGGGTTGGATATTGAAGAATTCAGTGGAAGAAGTGAGGAGTGATTTTGACAGATGCAAAGCAACCTGGGGAAAGACTGGTTGTTCTGTCATGGTTGATCAGTGGCGAACAGAAGCAGGTCGAACCATGCTGATTTTCTTGGTGTATTGCCCCGAGGGAACAGTGTTTTTGGAATCTGTGGATGCATCTGGAATTATGGATTCCCCAGATTTGCTTTACGAATTACTCAAAAAAGTTGTGGAACAAGTTGGGGTGAAACATGTACTGCAGGTGATTACTAGGTGTGAAGAAAATTATGCTATTGCTGGTAGAAAGCTTTCTGATACGTATCCGACCCTCTATTGGACTCCATGTGCTGCGAGTTGTGTGGATTTGATTCTTGGGGATTTTGGAAACATTGAGAGTGTAAATACTGTTATTGAGCAAGCTCGATCGATTACAAGATTTGTCTATAACAATAGTATGGTTTTAAACATGGTCAGACGGTATACCTATGGTAACGATATCTTAGAACCTTGCGCCACAAGATCGGCCACAAACTTTGCCACGTTGAATCGGATGGTTGAACTGAAACGATGTTTGCAGACCATGGTTACTTCTCAAGAGTGGATGGACAGCCCATATTCAAAGAGACCAGGGGGATTGGAAATGTTGGATTTAATCAGCAGTGAATCATTTTGGTCCTCATGCAATTCAATTATTCGTTTGACAAACCCTCTGTTGAGAGTTTTTAGAATAGTGGGTAGTGGGAAGCGACCTGCGATGGGATATGTTTATGCAGCAATGTATAATGCTAAGCTAGCAATTAAGACAGAACTTGTTGACAGAGAGCGTTACATGGTCTACTGGAACATTATAGATCAGAGATGGGGACAACAGTGGAATCATCCTCTTCATGCCGCTGGATTCTACTTGAACCCCAAGTTCTTTTATAGCATTGAAGGAGGTGAAATGCATGGTGAAATCGCATCAGGCATGTTTGATTGCATAGAAAGACTGGTTTCTGATACAAAAATTCAAGATAAAATAATAAAAGAAATAAACTCATACAAGAATGCTGTTGGAGATTTGGGAAGAAAGATGGCTATTAGAGCGAGAGAGACGCTGCTTCCAGGTTAGTATCTAATCTATTGCTATTCCTCAGCTTCCATTATGCACCATCGCACAATTTGCATTTCACCAGCTTGTTCATGACTTGCATTTCTGAAAAACGCTTGGAACCAGATACATGGCTGATTACACGTTCTAGGATTATTCGTATAACTGGCATGCTAAGGACTTGGGAAGCACATATGTTTAGCACAATGATTTTTAGGAGATGTTTTCTATCATACTGACCATTAAATTTCATTCTGCATGACTTTCACGTCCCAGTCGGATAAACTGGAGCACATCTGTTGCGTAGTTATCTTCCATGCATATCAAGAGCGACCATTTTTCTTCATGTTTATCTTCTTTCTGGCTATTGGTTGAATGATCTTTTCATTTGTTTATGTTTCTTGTAGCTGAGTGGTGGTCAACATATGCATCAAGCTGCCCATGTTTATCTCGCTTGGCCATTCGAATTCTTAGTCAAACCTGCTCCTCAGTGGGGTTAAAGCAAAATCAAATCCTTTTTGATAAGTTACATGATACCAGGAATCACATTGAACACCAACGTCTTAGTGACCTTGTATTTGTGCGCTTCAACTTGCAACTCAAACAAATGTAAGTCAGTTGAAACATTTATTACACAATGAGTCTCTCTGTTTGAAATTTAGGGGCATTGCTGAAGTTTTTTTTTTCCCAATGAATTTATTGGCAGGGCTGCTAAAGCCAATGAACAGTATCAAGTTGACCCCCTTTCCTTCGATGGGCTCAGTATTGTTGATGACTGGGTTTGGAGAAGGGATTTATGTGCAGAGGATTATGGGAATCTGGAATGGACAGTTCTTGACAGCCCTCCCTCCGGTTCCACTAGGCTTTTACCCCTGCACAATGACTGCGATGACTTGGTAGCAGGTGACTAATTCATTATGGTTTTATTACCACTATGAGACTACAATCCATACTGAAATTCTCTCAAATGTACAGGGTTTGATGACTTGGAGGTTTTTAAAAGGCAGAGGGAGAGTGAAGACGACAATATTTCATAGCACGAAGCTACTGATGCCTTCAAGTAAGTCGCATCGATTCTGTTAATGGATGATCTTACTTGTGTCTAATTATCATGCATGGTGGAATGATGCGATGGTATTATGTAGTCGAGCTCCTCAAGAGCAGATTGAATGTTGTATGTCTCAGTAGTAGAGTAGGTCACTAGTCCACTGTATCTTAGAATTGAGCAAGTCAAGTAGCTTTGTAGATTACAACGCGTTTAGGCCGACTTATGATTTAGATTGTTCAAATTAAAGCTGTATATGCAAACCATGGAAGGAGACACCCTTCAAATAAATTTAATGAAATCTTGGTTGAGCTTTCTGTGCGGAAAATTCTGTGCACATCCCTTCGTGATTGCTTATAATTCATAATTGCAACTTCCATTATCACTCCTAGCAGTTGGGTCGAAGTTCTCTGCATTAGGGTCTGTGCAGCCTTCAGGGACAGGAAAATTCACCTGCTGAGCGGCTTTGCCTGCAACAGACAGAAGCAGCAGCTAAGGATAAGCTGCTTATGTTTTGTACAATTCTTAACATCTGTAGAGGGTCAAGAGAGAGCTAACCGTAGAATGCTCCACTTTTTATAGCGTCTTCATTGGCATCGCCAAGAGCAGCCTCGCTCAAGTACTTGTCAGCCAATTGGACTCTCTTTACGTTCTCTTGCTCCTGAACGAGCATGTTTCCATACTCGAGAAGCTTCTCTAAGGTCATCTTTGGCTGCTCGAACGTCGGTGGTCCTTCCTTTGAGTTGACGAGCCTCTTAGAAATATTTTCAACTCCGACTGAAGCAGCCCACTTCCTCACTTCATCGTCATATACTCTTGCCCTCAGGGCACCAAAGAAATCTGTATGATCATGGTTTAGTTTATCAGGTTAGAATATAGATGGGAAATGAATCATAGTACTTTTGTATTTCATTCATAGTTTACACTCGAAACTTACCTATGGATTGGCCAGGGAAGGTATCAACAAGCTTGACAATGTCTTCTTTAGGAACATTGTCACTCCTAAAGATTCCTGTGCAGACACCAATTCGATCCTCCCGAGTAGGTGCCCAGTAGAATTTTTCCATACGACCATCACGGATGAGAGGAGCATACAGTGTTGAGAAGTCGTTACCCGTGACAATGATGGGAACACGGGGGTTGTCCTCTTTGTTGTACATACCAGGGAGCTGAACATTGGTTGGATTATCAGCTATGTTCATGAGGGTAGCGTTAACCATCTGGTTGTTCACAGTGTATTGAGTAGTGCCACCAAGACGACCAGCTCCTGCGTCGAGATCGTTGATGAAGAGAACACACATTTTCCCTTTCTTGATAATGTCCGCTGCTTCACGATATCTCTGTCGAATCAGTTTTGCAGGTTCCCCTGCATTTCCACTCTCCAATTCTCCTGCACTCATCATAATGGGGCTGAAACAATGAAACAAAACATTAACATGAAACAGTTTGAAATCA